GGCTTGAACATTGATTTTGAAGTTACATAAAATTGAGTTATAGAGCAAGTTTGGAATGGTGATTCTGGCTATTCAAGCTTGAGGAAATGAATGAGGGATGACCCTCTATTTATAGGGAATCAAATAGAATGTTCAAGCGTGTGAAATGATGAAGTTTGGAGGGAAATCGTGTGAAGTTGCAAACAAGAAAAGTGTGACTTCTAATTTGATCACAACTCATCCAAAACGCGCATTTTACTATGCTAATCACTTCTAGAAGTTCACTAAACATGTTTAGAAGCAAAAACGCACAAAAACAAAGTGTTTAGAAGCTAAATCAATGATTTCAAATTCTGACTTTTGAAGAAACTTTAGTTTTAAGTTACCAAGTTCAAATCAATGGCATTCTCAGCTCAAGGGGTCTTAGGGCATGATTCTTGATGCTTTAGAAAGATGAGGTTACAAGCTTTGCAATGGGAAAAGAATGGAATCAAATGGATGTTTGAGCTGAAAGTTGCAATGAGTCAAAGTTGGGGAAAAAGGTTGACTTTCCATACTTAGAAATATTTCAAGTTTTTCTTCAAAAGTGACCTATAATGTTTTGCATCCAAACATGGTCTTCCACTTGGAATTTGCTCTTGACCAAAAAAAGATGGTATTAAATAGACCTCTTGAATGACATTTTGAAACTTTAACCATTCAAAATCTCCAAAAATTGAGAGAGTTATGAATTGTTGAAGTTGGCAAAAAATCATGAAATAACCTATAATATTTTGTATCCTTAGGGCGTATTCCATCCATTTTCTCACTTTTCACATAAAAGAAGGAATAAATTTCACATTCTTAAGATCATTGTGGAAAAGAGTGGGCTCAAGGTGATAAAAATTGACCAAGTTATGATCATTTGAAGTCACACATGAGAAATTGGGGGTTCATCTGGAGGACTTGTAATATTTCTTCATTATCAAGTTTCTTCCACATGAAAACTCCTTGAAACTTTTGAAGTTATTTGTTAATAACCCTTTGAAGGGAAGGATGTCTTTGGAATCACTCAATAATACCAAAATATGAGCAAGATATACTTCTTTGAAGTTCAAAACCCTAGTTCCTAGATCAAGAAAATGCTTTGAGTAACTTTGACAATTTTGAACAACCTTCTTGTACCAACACCTTACTTTGTAGATAGAAGTTGTCGAGGATGATAATGAGAACTCATATCAACCAAAACCACTTCCATATCTTGATAATTGAGATAAATATGCACTTCTGACCAATGGGAACAAGACCTTGTCCAAACATGACAACTTCTTCAATCAACCCCTTGTGCTTTTAAATCAATCTTGATAACTTTGAAATGTGGTGAACCAAGATAAACCTTGCCATACCAATTCTTCCAACATAACTTTAATGATGAGGTTTGAACTTCTCAAGCTTTATTGACTAGGGTATGGAAATAAACTCATGAACCCATGGATCAACTTGCTAAGCCACATTGTCTTTACCTACATTATTAACAAGTAAGACAAACCAACATTGCATTTTATTAATTAAAAGGAAAATAAAAAACAAAACATGAATGATTACAAAAGAAAAACAAGTCAAGGTGCTTGGTGATTCCTCAAAGAGAAAAAACTAAAGATGGGGAAGAGAACCAAAAGCCCTAATGTGATCTTGTTGTGATTGAATCAATATGATATGATGAAGGGATCTTAAGGGAAAAAATTGGGGTACAACAGTTAGGCTTCATTATCCTATTGATGTTATTTTTATCCCGGGTCAGCTTCAGCAAACGCTCACGCTGCTCTACCATCTTATCTGCAAAAACAAAAACAATATGCTCGAGTTAGCACCACTAGAAGGACATGCCCGAAACAAATTAAAAACAAAAGGCAGTCGAGTCACGCAGACAGAGACCCAGAAGAGTCGTGGCATCCCCGTAAGTACGAAATTCAACAAGCTCTTTGGTGTTGATCGGGAGGGCCTCGAACATAGGTTCACTATCTTCACCAAGGACGTCGTCTCCCTCCCTCGTCATCCACCTGAAGGGGAAATCGACAATTTATTGAGAATACCGAAGGCCCCCTCATCCTCGGCACCCATGCTGCCAACATAAGTATGATAGTGGCCAGGCTTGTGGTCATAATGAGCCTGACACCAATGGATAGGAAACTTGGAGAGCCACTCGACCTCTTTGTTCCCATCTTCGTCGTAACAAATTTCCCCGTCCTCATCGATGATAGAAACTAGGTCGAACACCGCATCCACTGCCTCTTGGGAGGAGGGTTGCACGACATACCATTTATCCTTGAAGTCACGAACAAAGTCTATATACATCCTAAACATTCTCCTGGATTGATTGAAAGAAACTCAACTATGCTTTCCTCCTTTAGACTTTCGTTGAAGGTGGAAAACCCTGAAGAACAAAGGAATCGTCGCCCCAATCTTTAGATATCGACAAGTGATCTTGAAAGCCTGTATAAAAGCGATCGCGTTGGGGTGCATTTGGGAGGGAGCCCAGAACAAATGATTAAATACGTCCATTTGAAAGTCACTAAAGGGCAGGCGAAGCCCCAAATCTCTGAAGACAATCTCATACATATGGAAGCGATCTTCTTGGAAAGTCGAGCATATTCTGGCCGTAGGGGTTCGGGCGAAAGATCATGAAATTTTGTCTGAAACCTTCCTAGTCGCTGCCATATTTGATGACCGTGTACGCCTCCCTCCGAGTATTGCTAAAGACCGAGGCTATTCCTCGAGGCTCTGGCCCGACCAAGGATAATTACGGATCGGTGACGGTGTCGACCAAATGGAGACCCTCGTTGGCTCCACTCATTTCCTCTATCTCGACCTGCTCGACTACCTCGTTTGGTTCAACCATTTCACATGTAAAGTAGAGGAAACCAGTGAATTCGATAGCTAAATTAAATTCACCCTTCCACCGCAACAAAAGTGAAACAGGGGGTTGCTACGACCAAACCATGTCGACGAACCCTCGTTCAGCAAAAAACAAACAAACTCATGAATGCCACAAGGAGAATATGAATCTCTCGAGCAACCTCGTGAAGATGACGAGGGAGAGATGAATTTCTCGAGCAAACCCATGAGTGTCGCGAGGAGGGGATGAATCCCCCAAGCCATTTCATGAGTTTTGCGGGGATCATGCAATTGTTACAAGCAAATTCGTGAGTTACACGAGGAGAGGTATAAATATCCCGAGGAAAATTCCCCCATAAGTCGAAATTCATTAGGAAATCCATGAATTCTATGGGGAAACCCCTCCAGAAATTTCCATAAAATACAAAAATGAACAATCGCAGAAAAACACTTACTTGGTTGATGTTGATATGGGTGTTGAGGCGGAAAGCGTGGTTGTGCTCATGACAGAGAGGAAGACTGACGACTGTGTGGAGCAAAGAGAGAATGAGAACTTGGAAAAGTTGCAAATGAGCCATTGGGCACTATTTATAAAAGTTGCATGGAAGACGAAGCGTCGCATCGAGTAACGTGTCAACTATTCAATTCTTCACCGCCCACGCGTCCAGAGCCATATACCCATACTCCATAGGTCATCATTATAACCTAGAAGCTATGCCATGGGGCCCACTAAGTAAATCTCCTACAAAATTTTGAATACTTGCGAGTCGAGGAATATGTCGGTTGTCCCCACCAATATGTTTCGACTTCTATCCGAACAACTACCATACATGGACGACTTCATCTCTTGAAGGAATAAAGAACCCCGACAGAGCAATCCCCGACGGGCCGGCGAGTTGGTCTTAAGTCATAGCTCCTCCTCTTAGGTGCAATGACTTGGGGGGCTCCTGTTCTGGATTGGGCCTGCGCTTGGCCCAAACAACATACAAGGTCCAATCCAACTATGTTGCAAGTGAAGGCCAACAGGAATGAGGCTTCCCTTGACTATGTCGGGCAGCGACTCCACCCTTGCACCAAGGACATGTTCCCTGGGCCTTCCTCGCCATAGGGTTGTCGATGAGTGTTAATAGTTCCCAGGAGGTCTTGACGATCACCCTCCTCGTAGGGCAGACACCCACGTCTCCGAATACCCCGAAGTCATCTTGACCCCAAAAATATTGCAACCATGTCCTCCTAGTAATTCAGAGCAGTTCACTCAGGAGGGAGACCACGTGCTAGTCTCCACTACTCACGTAGACCCTCACTTGAGAGGGTCAAGTATTCATTCATTCTACCTCACTTACTTTACTTGCTCTTGCTTGAGCCTCACTTTGACATCGAAGTGTCTTGTAGGTATCCCTCCACTTCACATTCAACCGCTACTCAACTTGAAACTCGTGGACGACGATCTCTTTTGATAAGATACAATCAAATCCTTTAGCTCATTCTTTAAAATATGGTGCATGTGCCTTTTTCTAAATATATTTATTTTTTTAATAAATAAACGAAAATTTAATAAAACGAACAATATTTTTGGTTGTTTATTAAAGGGAGATAATAAAAAAAGTTAAATGAGCGGATATAGTGTGTAAATTAAGAGTGGTAAAACAGGCAGTCTGCTCCGTCCTAAACGCTTTAAAAAAAGAGTGGAACAGACAAATCTACCAAATAAAAATGGAAATAAAAATCAAACTCGTTCCGCCAAATTGACAAGTTGACGGACTTACCCGCTTATTTTTTATTTATTTATTTTCAATTTTTTAATATATTAAAAGGCTTATTTTTACATTTCAATTATATTTTTTATTTATATTTTAAAACAATTTTTTTGTAAAACATAGACCAAAATCCCAATCCAACCTACTATTTTTTAACGGATACATAGACCGGTTCAATTAGCCACGACCCGACTTACCACCCTTAACGTTGATAATGCAAAGTGGTAATAACAAGTAGATCAATTTAAAATTAGATAAACATGCAAAATTAGATATGATATAGAATTTGAAAGGTTCTAAACACAAAAACTACCGTGCGAAATTAGGAACTTCTAAAGATGTCAATTGGAACTTGAAGACATTTAAATCTATTCAAATTTAGCTATAACTCTATGGTCTCCAACTCTCACATCCCAACAATTCAGAATCCAAATCTCTCTCTTCAAATCCTTTTGCATTCAACAAGTCTCTTTCTATGTCAAAGTTTGCTTTAGCTGCAACCAACTTTGCCTTTAGCCTTTCTGTTTCAAGCTCTAGAGCTACCACATTCTCCTTTAGCTTTTCTACTTCCACTGCTTTCTCCACATAACTTTTAGCTCCTAAAGCATATTCAACATGAGGCTCTAACCAAGTCAGATCAAATCTATATTTTTTAAGTTCCTCCCATAAAACTTGAATATCCTTACAAGTTTGGTCATTCATGTCCTTCACTTTTCTAGTCTTAAGGAAACAAATAACTCTCCCCAATGCAGAAAATGCCAAATCAGTGAACTTGCACTTTCTATTTGGCGGGGGCTCATTGAGTGAAGAAGAACACATTTCTTGTTGGTGTCCTACGCTACTGAAATCCATAAGTTCTCCTCTTGAGGGTGAGAACAACTCTGCATCAGTGTGTTTTGTAGGTTCAATGCAAGCTATGGTAGAAACTGGTAAACAAGTTACCAAATTCGAGTCTTGAACATCTGGCTTTTGCCCTGGGACTCCAATTTCTTCATGGCTTGTTTGACTATTTGAGGTTATGGAAACGGTTACCTTAGCGGCTTGATTCACTTAATTCTCCTAAAGCAAAACCATGTCAGATCAAAATATAATTTTTTTGTAAAAGTATACAATGGTAAATCATTCACCATACCATGGATAACCTCCTACGACAAAAGGCTCTGAGGATATCTTCTTAACATTCAACTGAGAGAAGTTCTTGATGTTCCATTTGAACTTCTCAAATATCTCTACACTCGGTTCTTGATTCTCCATTTCTACAACAATATCCAAAATGAGTTTTTTTTAACAGAAACTTTGATGATTATCACTCAGAGAGGTCATAAAAAGCTAGAATTTGAAAAATCAAAACAAATATAAATATGAGCGAGCCCCTTACCCGTCATACATAAATAAATACAGGCTACCTTGATTTTTTAGTGTTGCGTATCTAAGAAGCAGCAGAGCGACCTAGTTCCCGAGGAACTGGAACGGCTACCAAAGATAGAGAGTCTGACAGTGATGCCTACTGTATTTTTATTGGCCATTTCAACTTTTTTAATCATGTTTTGTTTTTGCTGATGAGAAGCTCAAAAGTCTTCTATTTATGGAGTAGAGCAATCATATTCTTTCTGATTCCTACACCAAAATATTTAGAATTTTTCCAACAATGTCACACTCCTAAAATAATTTTTTAACAATGTCACATTCTGAAATGAATTTACCAGAATGCCACACACAAGAGTTCACGTCATTTCAAATGGCGTGAACGTGGAACCCGACTGACAGATGACGTGAATCATATACTCTTAGATGACGTGAGATCCACGTTCATGTCATTTGAAATGGCGTGAACCCCTTGTATATGACATTCTAGGAAATTTGTTTCAAGATATGATATTGTTGGAAAATTATTTCAGGAGTGTGGCATTGTTGAAAAAAATTCAAATATTTAAACTTAAGAAGGTTCATCATCGTATGAAAAATGTTATTTCAAATAAAAATATATAAAAATATTGAAAATGAAAAGTGATTGTGAACGGTGATAGATACGTGAATAATAAATGTGAATAATTCATAAACAATTATTTTTAGTAGTAAAATAATATTGATTAATGAAATATAAAAAATTAATTAATAAATTGATGAAATTAGTTAATAAATATTCCGATATTAAAAATAATTTGGTAATAAAATAAAACTAGTTAATGAAAAAAAAATTGTTAATAAAGTGATGAAGTTGATTAATAATCGTCTAGATATTAAAAATAATTTTTAGTAATAAAATAAAATTTGTTAAATTAAACGTAAAATAATAGTTAATATAGTTATTAAATTGATTAATAAATGCTCAAATATTAAAAATAATTTTTGTTACTAAAATAAAACCGATTAATAAAAATATAAAATGTTGGTTAATAAAATTATGAAATTGATTAACCACTTAATTTTATATTGATACCCCATAATCTAAAAAAATTAACGAAAAAAATAAAAATAAAAATAAAATTATTATTATAACAATATTTCATTATTCACATTACTGTTTATAAATGAATATTTTTATTTGAATATTAGTGTATAAATTTAGTGTAAGAATAATAGACCTGTAGAGTCTTTTTTGTACAATTTTGATGTCCACAAGTCTAATCTATTAGAATTCCTAAATTTTAGATTTTGTCCAAAATTGCATAAGGCTCCCTAGGCCTCTTTAGTTTGAGATCCTCCTGATATTAATATTTATCATAATCAAAAATTTTAAATTCTCAAGTCTTTTTTACAAATAATATATTTTATAAAAAATATTTTATTATAATAAAAAAAATCGAGGTATAACCTCTAGGTGGGCCACATTTTCTTTTTGTAGGAGTACCATTTATTCCTTTAGTTGATATAAATAATTGATGAAAAAATTAATTATGAGACACACTTTGAAACCTAACAACTACATTTTAGTTTTTATTTCTTTATAATGATATTTTTATTTAAATATTTAGTCATTTATTCCTTCGTTTAGACTACCAATCAAAGAAAAATATTACGAAGTTTTATCTATAAAAGCATCTATTCATTCAATTTTTCCCTTGTTCTAAATTATATGGTGTCGCTTCAAGCTCATAAACATCATTCTTTATGATGAATTGGAAGACTGGAAAACCGTTTAAAGTTTCTTAATTAGTTAGGTAATCTTTCAAGGTTGTGTGTTGTTGTTATATCCATGTGTTAAAGAAACTAATTCTATCAATCTTAACAAAACATTTTTCTTCTCTTGCAATCTATCTCACATAATGGTGTCGTTGTTGTTGATTCCACCTCTTGTAATCCATTGTTATATTCGGGAATAATTTCTCGATGTGATCGGTCATTCAAGAAAAAAAAGCTCAATGATTTTTTTTCTCTTGGCTGACAATATTGAGAAACATATTGTTAATAGGTTTAATATCCTCATAGAGGGATCTAGCCTCCCTTTGAGGCGATCAAGAATGCTGAATCTTTATAGAAGAATCCTTATCGCCCTTTGAGGTGGTTAGGCATGCATGATCTTCAACAAATAACACTTTTCAACCTGTCTAAGGTGGTTAAAGGCTCAAGACCCAAGCATAAAGATCATTATCGCCCTGGAGGGAGCTAATAATATATTATAAGAGCTTCCTTGAGCGATCCCTTCATCCTTGAGAGATGACGCCTACTACTCCATATCATTTATGGAACTAACACTACTATAATAAACACATCTAATATCGGACGTGAAATGTGTTTGACCTGGGCTCCGAAAGTGAGGTAACGAAGGATGTCATGAAAATCTACCACTTATCACCTCAAATATTAAAACACTGAGAGGTAAAGTTAACAGCATGTGGGTTCCATTCCCAGCATCAGTATTTTTATGATTTTCAAAACTTGATGACGCGCCCAATATTAACACTCGGTATTTTGAAGAACCGATGTAATAGATCAATGTTCTTACCTCAGTTTATTGAGAAAACTGAGGGGTTAAGATTTTTTTATACTATCATTTGCACCTGTATTACAGAACCGATGAGATTTTAAAGATTTACTATAAAAGCATATGATTGGTGAACAAAGATAATTTGACACACAATCCACTCTTGTTTAAAAGCTTATGAGTGATTGACAAGTAACAACCTAAACTCAGTCCAACTCTAATATCAAAGTTATAAGAGAGTGGATCACAATGAACAATGAACAATCTAAAACCCAAAACCCTTATCTCATGCACACAGCTTCTCCAAATGTTTTAGGTTTAGAAAGTCCTTATAAAAAGACTCTTGCAAGCATGGTGTGATGCGGTGGGAGAACTGACTTGGGTGTTTTGTGTTTGATCGTAAATGTTGCGGTTAGCAAGAGTCGCCACCGGCTTTTCTTTTATCCAAAAGGAAAGATGAAAAAGCACAGGAAAGACCTTTGAGATTATTTCTTGAGTTCGGGGGGTGGATTATGAAAAGGGAAGGTATTAGCACCCTTTTCATCCATGGTTTTACATGGGCTCTTAGTTACTTGCTAGATCACTTACTTTTGTTTGAAATTATGCTCTGTGTGGTTTTGAAAAGTATTTTTTGAAAATAGGCCATTGTTTAGGCACACTTTTGTAATGATTCTCGTTAGTAAGAATGTATACAAAGGTGTTGATCTTTTTGAAAATGTTTTCAAGTTTTGAAAGATGTTTTGGAAGTGTAAGTGTTTGTTTTAAAAATAGTAAGGATGTTTTTGTTTTGAAATTGAGCAAGTAACTAGGAATATTCTACCTACTCAAAAGTCTTTCACGTGCATTTCCTTTTTCCTTTGACATTGTTATCTTACCATTGATTTAGTAAGTAACCCTATCTTTGGATGTAAAAGGGACGAGCGTGGGTCATCGTATAACCATGATTAGCAATGTTGCAAGGTATCTTAGCACTTTTCTTTAGGGACTAAGATCATTTTGAAAGGCAACTTTTGATAGCGTCATTGAGGGACTATGATCTTATATTTTGCTTGTCTTTTGCTAAGATAACTCACATGCGTAATATGGTCATTTTTGTAAGCCAACCAAGTGGATTTACCCTAGGGGTGCTTGTGTGCAAGTGTATTGATTTTCATGCTTTGCTTTTGTCTTGATTAGGGTTTGCTATTTTGTTGGTTTTAGTCTTTCCATACAAAACTCTAATTACTAGCATATATATATATATATATATATATATATATATATATATATATATATATATATATATATATATATATATATATATATATATATATATATATATATATATATATATATATATATATATATATATATATATATATATATATATATATATATATATATATATATATATATATATATATATATATATATATATATATATATATATATATATATATATATATATATATATATATATATATATATATATATATATATATATATATATATATATATATATAAAGCGATAAATTGCCGAATTTAAAATTACTACGCTATTACATCATTAGGGGAGGGGGTGTGCAAATTTACAAATGGAGAATATTGCAAGAGAATTAAACCTAATTATCTATTACAACCATATTGAATATTGTACAAAATTGAAAATAAAATGCAAGAATATAAATGGAAAAAAGAAATGATTTTTTGTTGTTTTTATGAAAGGGGTTTTAACCTAATTAAGAGAGATGATTAATGAAAAATAAATAAAATTTAAACCTAAATTAATTAAGAAGGAAATTAAGGTAAAAAATATATTTTAGGGTTTTTTGTGAAAAGGCTTTAACTTAATAAAAATAAAATGAAAATTAATTAATTAAAATAAACCTAAGTTCTAAATTAATTTTGAATAAAAAAAGAAAAGAAAATAATAATTAAGCCTAAGTCTAAATATTAATTATTTAAGAAAAAATAAATTAAGTTGTTTAAGAAAATGTTTTTAGTCTTTTTGTTTTGTAGAGAAGATAAAATATATAAGTGTAAGTAATAAAAATATTTTTTGGATTTTTATTAATAAAAATAATAATAATATTAATAATAATAAATAATAAAAATATTAAAGAAAATAAAATATAATGAAATGAAAAAAAAAAGAAAAAGAAATAATAAAAGAAAAATGGGCCAGGGGGTGTTGAAGTAAATCAAGGTTAGTGAAAAGAAAAAAAACATGAGGCCCAAATAGTAGTCCACGCGCTGTAAAAAAGCTCAAAAATGTCAAAAATAGTGAAAAAAAAGGCAAAAGGTCACGTTGGGGCTTGAACCCAGGACCTAAGGGTGACATGCGCGCGCT